ACAAATAACGGCTGAATAACATTACGTTTTGCTTTGATATAGCCAATGAAGCTGTCCACTTGTTTCAGTTTGCAGTGCTATAACTGATTGAAACTCTTGGTGTCACTGTACACCAACAAAGGCCCGAACGGGTCGGCAGCTTCATCCATTCTTTCCACCATTGCCAAGCGTTATTGTGGTGCGGTGTGTCTGCCAGCTAAGGACGATACGAAAGGCCTACATTGTGATGATATTTGGATAGTTAATTACAGCGAGGAATACCACCCTCTTTGATAACTTTGAACGAATTGGCTGGGGAATGATGCACGCCTGGCCCATCATGGGAAACACAGTCTACAGAGGATTTTCTATGAATCGCTATTGTGTTTTTTGCCTTTTCCTCGGCCTGCATTTCGCGTATGGAGCTGTGAGCTACTCTGCTGCTGAGGAGATGAAACGCGGGTCGGTGATTGGAAATATAGCCAAAGATCTCGGCCTCGGGACTGCCACACTTTCCTCGCGTAAAGCTCGTATTGACACAAACAGGAATGACAAGCGGTATTGTGATATTAATCTGAGCACCGGGGATTTGATTGTTACTGACAGGATTGACAGGGAAGCCCTTTGTGGTAAGAAGGTGACTTGCGTTTTTAAAGAGGAGCTTGTTTTGGAAAACCCTTTAGAGCTCCATCGTATCAGCATTCATGTGCAGGATATGAACGACAACGCCCCGCAGTTTAGTGAGGACCTGATTTCATTTGAAATAACAGAATCCGCAGTCAAAGGAGCTAGATTCTTACTCACTGAAGCCCATGATGCAGATATCGGTACAAATACTGTACAGCGTTACAATTTACAAAACAATGAGCATTTCACGATTAATGTAGACACAGAGGCCAGTGGACGTACACGCTCCGAATTGGTTTTGGTAAAGGAATTAGACCGAGAGCAAGAGAAAGAACTGAAATTAGTGCTTACAGCTCTAGATGGTGGCTCACCTCAGAGATCAGGTACTGCGATCATTCACGTCACTGTACTGGATGCTAATGATAACGCCCCAGTGTTCAGCCAGGCTGTTTATAAAGCCACTCTGCCTGAAAACGCACCCTTGGATACATTAGTTGTTACGGTGAGAGCCACTGATGCAGACGCGGGGCCCAATGGAGATATTACTTACAATTTTGATCATGTGTCGGATGACCACGTCTCTTTGTTCTCACTTGATCATAAGACAGGGCAAATAAGAATCATCGGCTCTATTGATTATGAGACTGAGACCTCCATTGAACTGCGAATAAGAGCAAAAGACGGACCAGGTCTTACCTCGTATTGTACAGTAATTATAGATATAACGGATGTCAATGACAACCCACCAACTATCAGTCTGAAATCACTGTCTTATCCCATACCTGAGAACGTGTCACCTGGTACAGAGGTGGGCATTATTAACGTGCAGGACAGAGACTCTGAGAGTAACGGACAGGTCCGCTGCTCCATTCAGCAAAACGCCCCCTTTAAGTTGGTTCCTTCTATTAAAAACTATTATTCTCTGGTGACCACAGGACAACTGGACCGTGAACTAGTGTCTGATTACAACATCACAATCACCGCCACTGACGAGGGCTCTCCACCTCTGTCCTCCTCTAAAACTGTTCAGTTATCTGTAGCAGACATCAACGACAACCCACCGGTGTTTGAGGAACAGTCCTACAGCGCATATGTGACTGAAAATAACAAACCTGGCTCCACTTTATGTTCCGTTAGTGCTCGAGACCCCGACTGGAGACAAAACGGTACAGTGATTTATTCTCTGTTACCCGGTGAGGTGAACGGTGCCCCGGTGTCCTCCTATCTGTCTGTTAACGGAGACACGGGGGTGATCCACGCTGTGAGGTCGTTTGATTATGAACAGTTCAGGAGTTTTAAAGTCCACGTGATGGCCAGAGACAACGGTTCTCCTCCGCTCAGCAGCAACGTGACCGTCAGTGTCTTCATATCGGATGTGAACGACAACTCTCCTCAGATTCTGTACCCCGCCCCGGAGGGCAACTCCTTCATGACCGAGCTGGTCCCCAAAGCTGCACACGGAGGCTCTCTGGTGTCCAAAGTGATAGCGGTGGACGCGGACTCCGGACAGAACGCCTGGCTGTCCTATCATATAGTCAAATCCACTGATCCGGGACTTTTCACTATCGGGGTCCACAGCGGAGAGATCAGGACCCAGCGGGACATTTCTGAGTCTGACAGCATGAAACAGAACCTTATTGTGGCAGTGAAAGATAACGGACAGCCCTCTCTCTCTGCCACCTGCTCCATGTATTTACTTATTTCTGATAACTTGGCTGAGGTGCCAGAACTGAAGGACATTTCTTATGATGAGAAGAACTCCAAGCTGACCTCATACCTGATCATCGCGCTGGTGTCTGTGTCCACCTTTTTCCTGACCTTCATTATCATCATCCTGGGTGTGAGGTTTTGTCGCAGGAGAAAGCCCAGACTGTTGTTTGATGGAGCAGTCGCCATCCCCAGCGCTTATCTCCCTCCTAATTACGCAGATGTTGACGGCACAGGAACTTTACGCAGCACTTACAATTATGACGCCTACCTGACAACGGGTTCTAGGACCAGCGACTTTAAGTTCGTGTCATCTTACAATGACAACACACTGCCTGCTGACCAGACTCTGAGGAAAAGTCCGACTGACTTTGCAGATTCGTTTGGGGATTGTGATGCTTCTCCTGAGGTAGGAACATGACTTATTCACACCTTCGTCATCCAGACAGTACGCTTACAGTTATTATTTGTATTTTCCTTCCTGTCATTGTTATACTACAATTTTACTCAACTTAACATATGTGGCAATTAACGTAATAACGTCATTTCACCTAAAAGTTACTACATGCTTCAGTACATAGTTAGTTTCACTTGTTTCTAAATTCACATTGAGCGTCATATTGCACCATGAGTTCAGAAGTGAGTTTTTTTCATATTTTCTGGTCTTTTGAGTAGAGGCTGTTGATCTTTTTGTCCTCCCCTTTCCCCATAACCGGTCTTTAACACTGCATCAGCGTCTCTGCTCAAGTGTCTTTTGGGTTGAGTTGCAGCCTGTTGTCCTTGTCTCTGTCCTTGGTGCTGAACTTCGCTTTTGCTCTTATGATGTTTGCTCCTGAGACATCTCTTTCCCATTTAGTAATCAACATTTGGGCTCTGTAATACACTTATTTTAAAAACATGAGAAAAACTCACATCAGTTGAATGAGTGAAATTTGTTTTCTGTTAGTGAGCAGTGTTGGTCAAGTTGTCACTCAGAAATTGTAATATATTACTTATTGCTCCTTCAAAAAGTAATATACTTTACTTATTACTGGATGATACGTTATGTTAATATATGAATTTCCAGTGTTTCCCACAGAATGACAGCGTCAGGGGGCAGAGAGGCCGGGGGGCAGGGGGTATTCTAACTTTGATATATGCTCCTCAATAAAATATGATTTTAAACAGGCCTAGTAAAAAAAAAATGAAAATCAATATGTGGCTGTCAGTGTTGATAATTATCCAAATTAGGCTAATTATGGGAAACACTACTTTCACTACCACCCCCCTTCACACCCGAACAAAGCAGTCTCTCCTGACTTTTTAGCTAATATCATATTCATAATAGCAGCAAGGAGTGTGGTTTTTACAAAGCATATAGCCTAGGCCTAACGTTTCTTAACACAAGCGAGTGAAAGAAAAAAATACAGCAAGTAAATCCCGACTTTTAAACAGTTGTTTTTCTGCACATGTAGCCTATTTATAAGAGCAGTATTCAGTAGTTACAAAACGCTACGTCAAAGCCACTCTCTCCTGACGAGTCCAACCATCAGTGGCAGTAGCTGCCGGAGTTTCATTCCGTAAGTTTCACGTTGCTCTGCTGCTTCAGCAGACGCTTCAATGAATTAGATGTAGAAATGTTTGCGGTTGAAAGCGTTTTGCTGGTTTACACTAGACGACAATGTTCTTTGCATCCGACTGTGACACAATAATGGCAGTAGCTACTTACAGCTGTGGAGAGAACGCCTTTCTCCTTCGTTCTACTTTCGTGCCGCTGAGCTGCCGCACAGTTGTGGATTCACGTCAAGAATGGTGCGTTCAGTAAGGAGTAACACAGCGTTACTTGCATTAGTAACTAGTAATACTATTACTGTTTTAGAAAAGTAATATTATTACAGTTACTGCCCAACACTGTCAGTGAGTAACATTTCATGTTTGTAAGTTCATTTCATTAAGAGATTACTTACATTTACTGTTGTTCACGTACTTATTCTGTGTAAGAAATATTGTTTTCAGCTTATTTATTTATTCATTAAATCCGATAGTGATGTTCAAGTCATAGACATGCTTTGTCGACCAATGCAACATAAAACGGATCCTGTCCTACGCTTGTTGTGTTGTGTTTGTACTCATTAGGATATTTTAGGTAAACTTTGTTATCGGAATCAAGTGGATTATAGTGGAAACGTGAGGCCGATTTTGGCATGTTTCGGGAGAAAAATATTGGAATATTTGCTATTTTATTGAGAGAGAAATACAGAGAGCGGCAGAGGGAGACAGATAAGGGTTTCAAAGTGGAGTTTTTATCGTGCAACACTAAGGGGCATGATCGGTGGTAAAACATCTTTTAACATTTGGTACATGTTGCCTTACTATTATGACTATGAAATAATTTAGGTGGATTACTTCAGGAGGAGATTTAGTCGTCTTTATAAAGCATTTTATCACAGCGAACAAGCTTTTTACTTAAACAAAAGAGAGACAACGGGATAGTGCCTCATTACACTTTTTAATACCTTATTAAAATGTGTTTTTATTGAAACATGACGGTCAAACCACCAGATAATGTGTTAAGGGATTTTCCATCTCTTCTGTAAAACTGTTATATGCGATTTTTACTCACGGTGTCAGTATAGACCAGCGAAGGAGTCAAACGTTCAGCCTGCTTTGCGCACCACCCACTATTGGGATCGACCAGCCCCGTGTTCTGTACAGCCTTCAACAAAGACGACAAATGCTTGGGAGGAACACATATTGATCGATTAGGGCATTTTAATGGTTTAAACTATCGTGTTTTAATTTGTGTAGTGCGGTCTGAGGATGATGAACAGACGGGGCGTTCTTCAAAGCGTTGGCTTTGTCTTTTTCTTTGTTGTGGTGCACCACGCACACGGAGACCTGAGCTATTCTGTACAGGAGGAGCTGAAGCGCGGATCTGTTATTGGGAATGTCGCCAAGGATCTCGGACTGGAGGTGGGCAGACTATCTGCTCGCAAAGCTCGTGTTGACATGGAAGGAAACGAAAGACAATATTGCGGGATCAACCTTCGAAGCGGGGATTTAGTCGTTGCGGAAAGAATAGACAGAGAGGAGCATTGCGGAGAAAAGCCTTCATGTGTTCTTAAATTCGAGCTGCTATTAGAGAATCCACTGGAGTTACACCGATTGTCCCTGCAGGTGCAGGACGTGAACGACAATGCACCAATTTTCCCGAAGGATGTTATAAAGCTTGACATTAGAGAATCAGCTGACAAAGGAGCGAAGTATCGCATTAATGCAGCACAAGATGCTGATATAGGCAAGAATTCAGTTGAAAGCTACATTTTGCAACAAAACCCCCACTTTGTGTTCAGTATTCAGACGACAAATGCTGGCAGTAAATACGGTGAGTTGGTTTTAGATAAGGAGTTAGACCGGGAGGAGCAGCAGGAAATGAAATTATTGCTCACAGCTGTGGATGGTGGTTCTCCTCAGAGATCCGGGACTGTAGTCATACACGTCGTTGTGCTTGATGCTAATGATAACGCCCCGGTGTTTACTGAGGCCGTATATACAGCCACGTTACCGGAAAACTCCCCTTTTCATACTCCAGTTATCACTGTAAGTGCATCAGATGCAGATGAAGGTGCCAACGGAGAGGTTACGTATGAATTTAGCCGAATATCAGATAAATCACAAAAGCTTTTTTCACTAGATGAGAAGACTGGAGAAATCAGTGTGTCTGGTGACATAGATTATGAAGAGGGATCGAAATATGAAGTGTTAGTTGAGGCCAAAGATGGTTATGGCCTCTCTTCAGAAGCAAAAGTAATTATTGATATCACTGATGTGAACGACAACGCCCCAGTTATATATCTGAAATCACTCAGTAGTCCCATACCTGAGAACGTGTCACCTGGTACAGAGGTGGGCATCATTAACGTGCAGGACAGAGACTCTGAGAGTAATGGGCAGGTCCGCTGCTCCATTCAGCAAAACGCCCCCTTTAAATTGGTTCCTTCTATTAAAAACTATTATTCTCTGGTGACCACAGGACAACTGGACCGTGAACTAGTGTCTGATTACAACATTACAATCACCGCCACTGACGAGGGCTCTCCACCTCTGTCCTCCTCTAAAACTGTTCAGTTATCTGTAGCAGACATCAACGACAACCCACCGGTGTTTGAGGAACAGTCCTACAGCGCATATGTGACTGAAAATAACAAACCTGGCTCCTCTTTATGTTCCGTTAGTGCTCGAGACCCCGACTGGAGACAAAACGGTACAGTGATTTATTCTCTGTTACCCGGTGAGGTGAACGGTGCCCCGGTGTCCTCCTATCTGTCTGTTAACGGAGACACGGGGGTGATCCACGCTGTGAGGTCGTTTGATTATGAACAGTTCAGGAGTTTTAAAGTCCACGTGATGGCCAGAGACAACGGTTCTCCTCCGCTCAGCAGCAACGTGACCGTCAGTGTCTTCATATCGGATGTGAACGACAACTCTCCTCAGATTCTGTACCCCGCCCCGGAGGGCAACTCCTTCATGACCGAGCTGGTCCCCAAAGCTGCACACGGAGGCTCTCTGGTGTCCAAAGTGATAGCGGTGGACGCGGACTCCGGACAGAACGCCTGGCTGTCCTATCATATAGTCAAATCCACTGATCCGGGACTTTTCACTATCGGGGTCCACAGCGGAGAGATCAGGACCCAGCGGGACATTTCTGAGTCTGACAGCATGAAACAGAACCTTATTGTGGCAGTGAAAGATAACGGACAGCCCTCTCTCTCTGCCACCTGCTCCATGTATTTACTTATTTCTGATAACTTGGCTGAGGTGCCAGAACTGAAGGACATTTCTTATGATGAGAAGAACTCCAAGCTGACCTCATACCTGATCATCGCGCTGGTGTCTGTGTCCACCTTTTTCCTGACCTTCATTATCATCATCCTGGGTGTGAGGTTTTGTCGCAGGAGAAAGCCCAGACTGTTGTTTGATGGAGCAGTCGCCATCCCCAGCGCTTATCTCCCTCCTAATTACGCAGATGTTGACGGCACAGGAACTTTACGCAGCACTTACAATTATGACGCCTACCTGACAACGGGTTCTAGGACCAGTGACTTTAAGTTCGTGTCATCTTACAATGACAACACACTGCCTGCTGACCAGACTCTGAGGAAAAGCCCAACAGACTTTCCTGAAGTGTTTGGAGATTCTGATTCTTCTCCTGAGGTAGGGACGGATGTCACATATCATATGACTTACACCGCAGCCAATAACCTTACAGCTACAATTTGTATTTGGCTTCCTTGTCTATTTTTATATAACGATTTAAGACAACTTAACATGCGTGGCAGTTAATTCATTTCACGTTAAAAGTTAATTTACGCTTTAGTAAATAGATCGTAGTTTCACTTGTTTTTAAATTCACATTGAGCGTGATAATGCACCAAACGTTTAGAGGTGACGTCTTTCATGGTCTTTGGAGTTGATACTGTTGATGTTTGTCTGTTTTGTCATATCCTTCCCCTAAAACCGGCCTATCCCTTAACACTGCATCAGCGTCTCTGCCCGTGTCTTTTGGGTTGAGCTCCTGCCAGTTGTTTTTGTCTCTGTCTTTGGTGGTAAAGGTCACTGTTGCTCTTGTGATGTTATTTTTTTCACCTTTCAAACGTTTTAGATTACAGTTTCACTCAGAAAATGTTTTTCCCGAGACATCTTTTCCCCAGATTCAGTAATTAACATTTGGGCTCTATATTGCACCTATACCTTGCTATGAGGTCAAACCCGAGAGAACACGCTGGTGAGGTACAGGAAAAAAGGAAACATCCCATCAGTGGAATGAGTGAAAGTGATTTCTATAAGTAAAATGTAATATTTAAAATATTAATAAAATCCCAGACTTACAAATTCATGTATGTAACATCATCTCATTAAGACATTATATCCACTTTCTGCTATTCATATATTTTTTCTGCGCAGGGAATATTGTTTTCCCATTTTTCTATTTATGAACTTTACATTTAAAGTTCAAGTCAAAAACAATTTTTTTTCGACAGGTGCAACATAAAAGGCAAGTTGTTGTTGTAGTACCAATTTTGTGTTATGTTATTGTTAAGGAGACTTTGTTATTTGATCTAAGTGTACTTTAGTGGAATCTCGAGAACAATATTTGCATTTTTTTAAGACAAACATATTGCAATCTATTCTATTTTATTGAGAGAGAGAGAGAGAGAGAGAGAGAGAGAGAGAGAGAGAGAAATAAATAAATGAGTTTCTAAGCTAAGGAGGAGTTTTTAGCGTGCAACACTGACCAGTATGATATGTGGTAAACACTGTTTAACATTTGTTAATGGTTGTCTTATTATTATCACTATAAAATGCTTTAGGTGGATTACTTCAGGAGGAGATATAGTCGTGTTTATAAAGCATTGTAACACAGCGAGCAAGCATCTGATTTTATATTAATACTTTTTTAAAATACGTTTTAAACGAAACATCAATGTCAGTCCACCCGATAATTTGTTAAGGGATTTCCCATCTCGTCTGTAAGACTGTTATATTTCATTTTTACTCACGGTGTCAGTATAGACCAGCGAAGGAGTCAAACGTTCAGTCTGCTTTGCACACCACCCACTATTGGGATCGACCAGCCCCGTGTTCTGTACAGCCTTCAACAAAGACGACAAATGCTTGGAAGGAACACATATTGATCAATTAGGGCATTTTAATGGTTTAAACTATCGTGTTTTAATTTGTGTAGTGCGGTCTGAGGATGATGAACAGACGGGGCGTTCTTCAAAGCTTTGGCTTTGTCTTTTTCTTTGTTGTGGTGCACCACGCACACGGAGACCTGAGCTATTCTGTACAGGAGGAGCTGAAGCGCGGATCTGTTATTGGGAATGTCGCCAAGGATCTCGGACTGGAGGTGGGCAGACTATCTGCTCGCAAAGCTCGTGTTGACATGGAAGGAAACGAAAGACAATATTGCGGGATCAACCTTCGAAGCGGGGATTTAGTCGTTGCGGAAAGAATAGACAGAGAGGAGCATTGCGGAGAAAAGCCTTCATGTGTTCTTAAATTCGAGCTGCTATTAGAGAATCCACTGGAGTTACACCGATTGTCCCTGCAGGTGCAGGACGTGAACGACAATGCACCAATTTTCCCGAAGGATGTTATAAAGCTTGACATTAGAGAATCAGCTGACAAAGGAGCGAAGTATCGCATTAATGCAGCACATGACGCTGATATAGGCAAGAATTCAGTTGAAAGCTACATTTTGCAACAAAACCCCCACTTTGTGTTCAGTATTCAGACGACAAATGCTGGCAGTAAATACGGTGAGTTGGTTTTAGATAAGGAGTTAGACCGGGAGGAGCAGCAGGAAATGAAATTATTGCTCACAGCTGTGGATGGTGGTTCTCCTCAGAGATCCGGGACTGTAGTCATACACGTCGTTGTGCTTGATGCTAATGATAACGCCCCGGTGTTTACTGAGGCCGTATATACAGCCACGATACCGGAAAGCTCCCCTTTTCATACTCCAGTTATCACTGTAAGTGCATCAGATGCAGATGAAGGTGCCAACGGAGAGGTTACGTATGAATTTAGCCGAATATCAGATAAATCACGAAACCTTTTTTCACTAGATGAGAAGACTGGAGAAATCAGTGTGTCTGGTGACATAGATTATGAAGAGGGATCGAAATATGAAGTGTTAGTTGAGGCCAAAGATGGTTATGGCCTCTCTTCAGAAGCAAAAGTAATTATTGATATCACTGATGTGAACGACAACGCCCCAGTTATATATCTGAAATCACTCAGTAGTCCCATACCTGAGAACGCGTCACCTGGTACAGAGGTGGGCATCATTAACGTGCAGGACAGAGACTCTGAGAGTAACGGGCAGGTCCGCTGCTCCATTCAGCAAAACGCCCCCTTTAAATTGGTTCCTTCTATTAAAAACTATTATTCTCTGGTGACCACAGGACAACTGGACCGTGAACTAGTGTCTGATTACAACATTACAATCACCGCCACTGACGAGGGCTCTCCACCTCTGTCCTCCTCTAAAACTGTTCAGTTATCTGTAGCAGACATCAACGACAACCCACCGGTGTTTGAGGAACAGTCCTACAGCGCATATGTGACTGAAAATAACAAACCTGGCTCCTCTTTATGTTCCGTTAGTGCTCGAGACCCCGACTGGAGACAAAACGGTACAGTGATTTATTCTCTGTTACCCGGTGAGGTGAACGGTGCCCCGGTGTCCTCCTATCTGTCTGTTAACGGAGACACGGGGGTGATCCACGCTGTGAGGTCGTTTGATTATGAACAGTTCAGGAGTTTTAAAGTCCACGTGATGGCCAGAGACAACGGTTCTCCTCCGCTCAGCAGCAACGTGACCGTCAGTGTCTTCATATCGGATGTGAACGACAACTCTCCTCAGATACTGTACCCCGCCCCGGAGGGCAACTCCTTCATGACCGAGCTGGTCCCCAAAGCTGCACACGGAGGCTCTCTGGTGTCCAAAGTGATAGCGGTGGACGCGGACTCCGGACAGAACGCCTGGCTGTCCTATCATATAGTCAAATCCACCGATCCGGGACTTTTCACTATCGGTGTCCACAGCGGAGAGATCAGGACCCAGCGGGACATTTCTGAGTCTGACAGCATGAAACAGAACCTTATTGTGGCAGTGAAAGATAACGGACAGCCCTCTCTCTCTGCCACCTGCTCCATGTATTTACTTATTTCTGATAACTTGGCTGAGGTGCCAGAACTGAAGGACATTTCTTATGATGAGAAGAACTCCAAGCTGACCTCATACCTGATCATCGCGCTGGTGTCTGTGTCCACCTTTTTCCTGACCTTCATTATCATCATCCTGGGTGTGAGGTTTTGTCGCAGGAGAAAGCCCAGACTGTTGTTTGATGGAGCAGTCGCCATCCCCAGCGCTTATCTCCCTCCTAATTACGCAGATGTTGACGGCACAGGAACTTTACGCAGCACCTACAATTATGACGCCTACCTGACAACGGGTTCTAGGACCAGCGACTTTAAGTTCGTGTCATCTTACAATGACAACACACTGCCTGCTGACCAGACTCTGAGGAAAAGTCCAACAGACTTTGCCGATTCGTTTGGGGATTGTGATGACTCTCCTGAGGTAGGAACCGATGTCACATATCATATGACTCATTCAAACCTTCGTCATCCGGACGAAGGTTTCGTCCGGATGCTTTAGTACATTGTTAGTTTCACTTGTTTCTAAATTGACATTGAGCGTCATAATGCACCATAAGTTTAGGTGAGTTTTTTCATATTTTCTGGTCTTTCCAGTAGAGGCTGTTGATCTTTTTGTCGCCCCCTTTCCCCAAAACCGGTCTTTAACACTGCATCAGCGTCTCTGCTCAAGTGTCTTTTTGGGTTGAGTTGCAGCCTGTTGTTTTTGTCTCTGTCCTTGGTGCTGAACTTCGCTTTTGCTCTTATGATGTTTGCTGTTGTTTGCTCCTGAGACATGTCTTTCCCATTTAGTAATTAACATTTGGGATCTGTAATACACTTACTCTAAAAACATGAGAAAAGTTCTCAGCAGTGGAATGAGTGAAAGTTTTTTTCTGTCAGTGAGTAACATTTCATGTTTCTAAGTTCTTCATTAAGAGATTTCTCCCATGTACTGTTCTTCACATAATAATTCTGTGTAAGAAATATTCTTTTCCACATATTTATTTATTTTTAAATCCCATAGTCATGTTCAAGTCATAAACATGCTTTTTCAACCAATGCAACATAAAAGGGATGCTGTCGTACGCTTGTTGCGTTGTGTTTGTACGCACTGGAATATTTTACGTAGACTTTGTTATTTGATTCAAGTGGATTATAGTGGAAGCTTGAGGCCGATTTTAGCATGTTTCACAAGAAAAATATTGGAAACTTTTCTATTTTATTGAGAGAGAAATAAAGAGAGCGGCAGAAGGAGACAGATACGAGTTTCAAAGCGATAGTCGAGTTTTTAGCGTGCAATACTTAAGGGCATGATCGGTGGTAAAACATTGTTTAACATTTGGTGCATGTTGCCTTACTATTAGGAATAATAATAATAATAATAACAATAATAAATTACATTTATATAGCGCGGGCGGCGCGGTGGTGCAGTGGTTTGCACTGTCGCCGCACAGCAAGAAGGTCGTGGGTTTCTGTGTGGAGTTTACATGTCCTCCCCGTGTCCATGTGTGTTCTCTCCGGGTGCTCCGGTTTCCTCCCACCATCCAAAGAAATGCGGCTTAGGTTGACTGGTGACCCTTAATTGTCCTTAGGTGTGGATGTGAGTGTGAGTGGTTGTTTGTCTATGTGTGGCCCTGTGATGGACTGGCGACCTGTCCAGGGTGTAACAAGCCTTTCGCACGATGTAAGCTGGAATTGGCTCCAGTCCCCCGCAACCCTGTAAGCAGGATAAGCGGTTGACGATGGATGGATGGATTTATATAGCGCTTTATCTTAGATACTCAAAGCGCTTCACAGTGAAGTGAACCACCACTGATGTGTAGCACCCACCTGGGTGATGCACTGCAGCCATTTAGCGCCAGAACGCTCACCACACATCAGCTTGAGGCAGAGAAACATTGAGCCAATTACTAGGGGGGATGATTAGATGGCCAGATGGTAAAAGCCAGGTTGGGAATTTTGCCATAGCACCGGGGATCTTTAGTGACCACAGGACCTCGGTTGAACATCTCATCCGAAGGACGGCAGCTCCTACAGTGTAGTGTCCCCATCACTGCACTGGGATCTTATTGTTAGTACCAGAGGAAAGACCAAAAGCAATGTTGTTGTCCCAGGAGGTCCTCCATCCAGGTACGGGCCAAGCCCAAACCTGCTTAGCTTCAGTTAATCAGCAGTAGAAGGGTTTACATTAGCATAGCTGCTGGCAAATCAATATGAAAAACTTTAGGTGGATTACTTCAGGGGGAGATATAGTCGTGTTTATAAAGCATTATATCACAGTGAACAAGCATGTCTTTTTACTTAAACAAAAGTAAGACAACGGGATAGTGCTTCATTAGAATTTTAAATACATTATTAAAATGTGTTTTTATTGAAACATGACGGTCAAACCACCAGATAATGTGTTAAGGGATTTTCCATCTCTTCTGTAAAACTGTTATATGCGATTTTTACTCACGGTGTCAGTATAGACCAGCGAAGGAGTCAAACGTTCAGCCTGCTTTGCGCACCACCCACTATTGGGATCGACCAGCCCCGTGTTCTGTACAGCCTTCAACAAAGACGACAAATGCTTGGGAGGAACACATATTGATCGATTAGGGCATTTTAATGGTTTAAACTATCGTGTTTTAATTTGTGTAGTGCGGTCTGAGGATGATGAACAGACGGGGCGTTCTTCAAAGCGTTGGCTTTGTCTTTTTCTTTGTTGTGGTGCACCACGCACACGGAGACCTGAGCTATTCTGTACAGGAGGAGCTGAAGCGCGGATCTGTTATTGGGAATGTCGCCAAGGATCTCGGACTGGAGGTGGGCAGACTATCTGCTCGCAAAGCTCGTGTTGACATGGAAGGAAACGAAAGACAATATTGCGGGATCAACCTTCGAAGCGGGGATTTAGTCGTTGCGGAAAGAATAGACAGAGAGGAGCATTGCGGAGAAAAGCCTTCATGTGTTCTTAAATTCGAGCTGCTATTAGAGAATCCACTGGAGTTACACCGATTGTCCCTGCAGGTGCAGGACGTGAACGATAATGCACCAATTTTCCCGAAGGATGTTATAAAGCTTGAAATTACAGAATCAGCTGACAAAGGAGCGAAGTATCGCATTAATGCAGCACAAGATGCTGATATAGGCAAGAATTCAGTTGAAAGCTACATTTTGCAACAAAACCCCCACTTTGTGTTCAGTATTCAGACGACAAATGCTGGCAGTAAATACGGTGAGTTGGTTTTAGATAAGGAGTTAGACCGGGAGGAGCAGCAGGAAATGAAATTATTGCTCACAGCTGTGGATGGTGGTTCTCCTCAGAGATCCGGGACTGTAGTCATACACGTCGTTGTGCTTGATGCTAATGATAACGCCCCGGTGTTTACTGAGGCCGTATATACAGCCACGTTACCGGAAAACTCCCCTTTTCATACTCCAGTTATCACTGTAAGTGCATCAGATGCAGATGAAGGTGCCAACGGAGAGGTTACGTATGAATTTAGCCGAATATCAGATAAATCACAAAAGCTTTTTTCACTAGATGAGAAGACTGGAGAAATCAGTGTGTCTGGTGACATAGATTATGAAGAGGGATCGAAATATGAAGTGTTAGTTGAGGCCAAAGATGGTTATGGTCTCTCTTCAGAAGCAAAAGTAATTATTGATATCACTGATGTGAACGACAACGCCCCAGTTATATATCTAAAATCACTCAGTAGTCCCATACCTGAGAACGCGTCACCTGGTACAGAGGTGGGCATCATTAACGTGCAGGACAGAGACTCTGAGAGTAACGGGCAGGTCCGCTGCTCCATTCAGCAAAACGCCCCCTTTAAGTTGGTTCCTTCTATTAAAAACTATTATTCTCTGGTGACCACAGGACAACTGGACCGTGAACTAGTGTCTGATTACAACATTACAATCACCGCCACTGACGAGGGCTCTCCACCTCTGTCCTCCTCTAAAACTGTTCAGTTATCTGTAGCAGACATCAACGACAACCCACCGGTGTTTGAGGAACAGTCCTACAGCGCATATGTGACTGAAAATAACAAACCTGGCTCCACTTTATGTTCCGTTAGTGCTCGAGACCCCGACTGGAGACAAAACGGTACAGTGATTTATTCTCTGTTACCCGGTGAGGTGAACGGTGCCCCGGTGTCCTCCTATCTGTCTGTTAACGGAGACACGGGGGTGATCCACGCTGTGAGGTCGTTTGATTATGAACAGTTCAGGAGTTTTAAAGTCCACGTGATGGCCAGAGACAACGGTTCTCCTCCGCTCAGCAGCAACGTGACCGTCAGTGTCTTCATATCGGATGTGAACGACAACTCTCCTCAGATTCTGTACCCCGCCCCGGAGGGCAACTCCTTCATGACCGAGCTGGTCCCCAAAGCTGCACACGGAGGCTCTCTGGTGTCCAAAGTGATAGCGGTGGACGCGGACTCCGGACAGAACGCCTGGCTGTCCTATCATATAGTCAAATCCACCGATCCGGGACTTTTCACTATCGGGGTCCACAGCGGAGAGATCAGGACCCAGCGGGACATTTCTGAGTCTGACAGCATGAAACAGAACCTTATTGTGGCAGTGAAAGATAACGGACAGCCCTCTCTCTCTGCCACCTGCTCCATGTATTTACTTATTTCTGATAACTTGGCTGAGGTGCCAGAACTGAAGGACATTTCTTATGATGAGAAGAACTCCAAGCTGACCTCATACCTGATCATCGCGCTGGTGTCTGTGTCCACCTTTTTCCTGACCTTCATTATCATCATCCTGGGTGTGAGGTTTTGTCGCAGGAGAAAGCCCAGACTGTTGTTTGATGGAGCAGTCGCCATCCCCAGCGCTTATCTCCCTCCTAATTACGCAGATGTTGACGGCACAGGAACTTTACGCAGCACTTACAATTATGACGCCTACCTGACAACGGGTTCTAGGACCAGCGACTTTAAGTTCGTGTCATCTTACAATGACAACACACTGCCTGCTGACCAGACTCTGAGGAAAAGTCCAACTGACTTTGCTGATGCGTTTGGAGATTGTGATGCTTCTCCTGAGGTAGGAACAGGTGCCACATATCGTTGGTCCTGCTATTAGCTGACATTCATCGAATATGTTCCATAATTTTCTTTCTCTTTGGTTATTTCAGATCCAGTAAAATGTTACTACAAACTATAACGTGTTGTTGTTCATGCATCCCCTATTTGTCGACCTACCTTCTTCACCAAAGTGCTTAATTCAGCATCTGAAATATTGATGTTAATAATTTTTTATATCCAGATTCAGTGATACACAAACTTTTTTTTTCACCTCTTTTTTTTTGTTTTTCTATTGAAACATGAGGAATTGTCTATCTCTTGCTCTGTCTGTCTCTTTCTCTTCATAAACTGTACAGTCTTTGATGCTTAACTGTATATTGAGCACTCTCTCCCTGCTCTTCAACTGAATGTCGACTATATTATGTATATACTGTATTTAAATAGCTGGTCAGTTTTCGTGTTTGCTTCAGCTAAGACTGCAATAGGTTTCATTTTCTATACATATTTACGACCCTGGTGTGTTCGCTTCTGTGTCTTTGGTTGAGCTGCTTCTAGTTTTTTGTGTCTCTGTCCTTGGTGCTGAGCCTCGCTGTTACCCTGTTGTTAGTTTTTCAGGAACAACTTACATCTGTCCTGTTACCATGTAAAAACATAAATTAGCTTTCTTATGTTTTGGATTTTAGCTTTCCTTATATTAAGACACGTCTATTTTCCACTTTTTAAGTAACGCTGTAACTCCATTGTTTTCTTCAAGGTAAAAAAAAAACAACAACACTCAAGTGAATTGGGATATATTTGACTTGACAGTCAGTAAAGTTTTATGTATTTTATTGCCTCGTGATTTCATACTAATTATGTCTATTTTAAAATTCTCTAAATTAGTATTTATGTGCCAATGCAGAAAGTAGTATAATTTCTATCTAAAGAAAATAAAGTTATTTTTCAGAAGGGGTGGTTTGGTCCGTATATTTTCTTTTGACAGCCATTGCACATGCTTTTTCTCATTTCATACTGTTTAATTTTTAAATTTTATTTGATTCTGTTTTTGTCATTATTGTTTGACTAATATTTCACAATAATAATCTTTAGCTACCATGTCCAAACATTGTATGGATCACCCACTGACATACGTTACTAAGAAACTTTGATAAACAGTACTAACAAAAGTTTTTTAGCGCTGGGAACAGATGTCTGACTATAATTTCACTATCATTTTTAGAACATCCATTAACATTAATCTGAAAGGTTAAACTATTATATTTTGTGTATAAATTTACTCTATTAGTCTGACACTGACATTTATTGCAGACATCTTGCTTCTTGAATACAGCATCTACACAGAGAGGCAGACAGACAGAGAGATGAAGAGATGGACTTCTCTAGGAGCTTGTCTGTGCGGCATTTAAACACAGAATAAAAGCTAAGATCAGGGTCACAGATTGTGGAATTTGTTTAATTTAGTTAAGTGACCAATATAATGCACAGCATGCATCGTGCAACAACACATAGCCAGTGTGTTGTCAGACATTGTTTATCCTAAACTTTTGGGGATTGTAGTGTTACTATTACTATTATCGCTATGAAATGCTTAAAGTTGATCAATTTAGAAAGAGTCTGGTTCTTGTTTGTTGCTTCAAGTTTGTGACATCTTACAATGACAATGCTGATCAGACTGTGAGGACAAGTCCAACAGACTTTAATGCTGAAGGATCTAACTTGTGTAGTAATTAATGATGTGAGCTAAAGGTTTTTGACTTCGGAGTTTAGGTTTGGTCCTATGTAATGTTGTAACTGCTTTAATATTACATTTCCCACGTATAGAAGTTTTAATTAACCAAACAAGGCTTTCCCTTTTGGTGCGGAAATGCTGAACAGCTATTTAAGCATATGTTTGCGGGGTCTTGTCCTCAGCCGCCTTCTCTTCCCATTATAATGAAACGCATATATTCTTGTTCATATGCCCGAGATGTAAATTCTGTAGTCACAGTTTTGTCGAGGCTGTTCTTGCAATTTTTATTTTTTATTCATCTTTTTGTAGTCTTCATGTCTGTCTTCCCGCAAAGTTGGGTGATGATGGCGCAATGGATAAGACGCCTGCTTTTGGTGTGAGGGACCCCTCTTCAGTTCCCCACTGTGACCCATCCACCATTGTGTCCCTGAGCAAGACACTTAACCCCTCGTTCCCTCCAGAGGTCTGCGACCTCTGACATGTATAGCAATTGTAAGTTGCTTTGGATAAAAGCGTCAGCTAAATGAATAAATGTAATGCTCTCTTTTGGGAAAGGCCTTCTGAATTCCCTTCCCCGTCCCTCTGCCCATGGTGTTGAAAGCAGTTTAATCTCCAACAGCATCTTTTTAAATAAACAATTTCCCTCCATTTTCCTCCGTGTTTTTAGTCTGCATAGTAATAGACAAGTTGCTGTATGATGTAAAAAGCATTCCCTTGTGATTGACAGATTTCTTGCTTTTTTAAACTATGAATAAGATTAAATACTGGTACTGGTAGGTGTGTTCATAGTTTTTGTAAGAAAATCCAAGTTGTCGAATTACCTTTGTTGTATGATTGATAACGTTATCTTTATAGATTTTTTAAAAATACCTTCAGAAAACCATACACCCCAGTGTTATATCTCACAAAGTACTCAAGGTGTCACTGTGCACTAATAAACGAGGCTGCACGTTCACTCTCCACCCTTTTACGTCGAGAAATGTAAAGCCAGATTCCAGTATTGTTCAGTACTGGACTACAACAGCTTGGTATAATGGTTGAAGATTAACTACTTTTCAAAATCCAAGGAGATCACGAATGCAACGTGGATTTTATTTTGTTGAAAACTTACATTTAAGTGGTCTTTTGTTTCGTCGTTATAATGGGGAACAACAGATTTGCGCTGCTCCGCGGCCTTGTTGTAATTTTTCTTGCCCTCCACCTCGTCCACGGAGACGTGAGCTACTCTATCCCGGAGGAGATGAAACGTGGATCTGTAATTGGAAATATCGCTAAGGATCTGGGAGTTGATTTGGGCAGACTGTCTGCTCGCAAGGCCCGAATCGATACAGAGAATAACAGTGTTAAATACTGCGGTGTGAATCTCAGCACCGGAGACTTGATTGTGCAAGAAAGGATAGACAGAGAAGGGCTTTGTGCGAAAAAGGCATCGTGTGTTCTAAAACAGGAACTCGTACTGGAAAATCCTTTAGAGCTGCACCGTGTTAGTATCCGCGTTGAAGATATTAATGACAATTCACCGCAGTTTAAAGAGGAGTCACTTAAATTCGAAATTAGAGAGTCGGCCGTCAAGGGTGCACGGTTTCTCTTGGATGAGGCGCACGACGGAGACATCGGAGAAAATGCTGTTCAGGGCTACTCACTTCAACAGAATGACCATTTCAAATTAAATGTAAACACAAAGGCAGGTGGGCGAAAGCATTGTGAATTAGTTTTAGACAAAGAGTTAGACAGAGAGGACAAAACTGAGATCATGTTATTGCTTACCGCATTTGATGGCGGCTCTCCTCAGAGATCAGGCACTGTAGTCATTCACGTCACTGTGCTGGATGCTAATGATAATGTACCAGTGTTTAGCCAGACCGTCTATAAAGCTACTCTGCTTGAAAACTCTCCTTTGGATACAGTTGTAGTCACAGTGAGTGCAACTGACGCCGATGAGGGAGTGAATGGCGAAGTAACTTATGCATTTGACCATGTTTCGGATGAAAACCAAGTTTTCTCTCTGAACCCTAAAACAGGCGAAATTAAAGTGGCTGGATCTATTGATTATGAAAAAGAATCGGCATATGAAATGCAGATCAGCGCCAAAGATGGTTTAGGATTGGCGTCCTATGCAACCTTAGTTATTGAGATTTCAGATATAAATGACAACGCACCAGTTATATATCTGAAATCACTCAGTAGTCCCATACCTGAGAACGTGTCACCTGGTACAGAGGTGGGCATCATTAACGTGCAGGACAGAGACTCTGAGAGTAACGGACAGGTCCTCTGCTCCATTCAGCAAAACGCCCCCTTTAAGTTGGTTCCTTCTATTAAAAACTATTATTCTCTGGTGACCACAGGACAACTGGACCGTGAACTAGTGTCTGATTACAACATTACAATCACCGCCACTGACGAGGGCTCTCCACCTCTGTCCTCCTCTAAAACTGTTCAGTTATCTGTAGCAGACATCAACGACAACCCACCGGTGTTTGAGGAACAGTCCTACAGCGCATATGTGACTGAAAATAACAAACCTGGCTCCACTTTATGTTCCGTTAGTGCTCGAGACCCCGACTGGAGACAAAACGGTACAGTGATTTATTCTCTGTTACCCGGTGAGGTGAACGGTGCCCCGGTGTCCTCCTATCTGTCTGTTAACGGAGACACGGGGGTGATCCACGCTGTCAGGTCGTTTGATTATGAACAGTTCAGGAGTTTTAAAGTCCACGTGATGGCCAGAGACAACGGTTCTCCTCCGCTCAGCAGCAACGTGACCGTCAGTGTCTTCATATCGGATGTGAACGACAACTCTCCTCAGATACTGTACCCCGCCCCGGAGGGCAACTCCTTCATGACCGAGCTGGTCCCCAAAGCTGCACACGGAGGCTCTCTGGTGTCCAAAGTGATAGCGGTGGACGCGGACTCCGGACAGAACGCCTGGCTGTCCTATCATATAGTCAAATCCACTGATCCGGGACTTTTCACTATCGGGGTCCACAGCGGAGAGATCAGGACCCAGCGGGACATTTCTGAGTCTGATGGCATGAAACAGAACCTTATTGTGGCAGTGAAAGATAACGGACAGCCCTCTCTCTCTGCCACCTGCTCCATGTATTTACTTATTTCTGATAACTTGGCTGAGGTGCCAGAACTGAAGGACATTTCTTATGATGAGAAGAACTCCAAGCTGACGTCATACCTGATCATCGCGCTGGTGTCTGTGTCCACCTTTTTCCTGACCTTCATTATCATCATCCTGGGTGTGAGGTTTTGTCGCAGGAGAAAGCCCAGACTGTTGTTTGATGGAGCAGTCGCCATCCCCAGCGCTTATCTCCCTCCTAATTACGCAGATGTTGACGGCACAGGAACTTTACGCAGCACTTACAATTATGACGCCTACCTGACAACGGGTTCTAGGACCAGTGACTTTAAGTTCGTGTCATCTTACAATGACAACACACTGCCTGCCGACCAGACTCTGAGGAAAAGTCCGACTGACTTTGCAGATGCGTTTGGAGATTGTGATGCTTCTCCTGAGGTAGGAACAGGTGCCACATCTCGTTGGTCCTGCTATTAGCTGACATTCATCGAATATTTTCCATAATTGTCTTTCTCTTTGGTTATTCAGTTCCAGTTAAAGTTAATACAAACTATAATGCGTCATAGTTATTTGTTGTTCATGTGTTCCTTTATTTTCGACCTACCTGCATCACGGAAATCTTATTTCATGCGATTTCACTGTAATCTGCTTGAATTTCTGGGGTTTAGCAATCATCAGCTGTTTAGCTGTATTGTACACAAACATTTAGTTTTTTTGCATCTCATAAGCTGTTTTTTAGTATTCCTGTTGAAACATGAGGAATTGTCTATCTATTGCTCCGTCCATCTTCATCTCCTCATAAACTGTTCAGTCTTTGTTGCTTAACTGTATGTCGAGCACTCTCTCCCAGCTCTTCAACTGAATGTCGACTATATTATGTATATACTGTACTTAAATGTAGCTGCTCAGTTTTCGTGTTT